AAGTACAAAGACCTTGTTTTAGATATTTTATTGTGTTAACCTCAGGTAAATCACTTTACCATTGTAAGCTTTCTTTCCTATAAATCAAAGATATCTTCTGTATCCATTTAATATAATCATTGGGACATTAAGTTAGATAAAGTGTAAAAGCATATTATAAATTGTAAAGTGTCATGTAATATGTTACAATGTTATTTCAATATATTTAGATTCTGTGAATTAGAGAGTGAGTGACATACAGTAAATGGTATGCTCTTCCCACCTTTCCCCATCTCCTTTTGTATTTTCTCCATTCAGGTAGGAAAAGAGGAAAGGAGCCTAATATAATAGAAAGCACAGGGGTTTGGGCAGTGATGTGCAGCTAGGAGCCTGGATGCTGGAACCAGACTGTTGGTGCAGATCTCAGTTTACCACTTAACTGACTGTGTTAACCTGGGCAGGAAACTTAACCTCTTTGTACTTCTGTTGCCCCATTGGTAAAATGGGAATCATCATAGCATCTACCCCTAAGTTGTTATGAAGATTGAATGAACCAATTGATGTAAAGGTTTACAATAGTTCTTGGCGCATAATAAGTGTTATCTATGTTAGCTATTATGTTAACAGGCAGACCTAGGTTCAAATTCCAGCTCCCAAGTACTGGGATTATAGGTGTGAGCCACCATGCCTGGCCTTGCTATATTTTTTTAATGTCTTAAGTGCTATATGTTCAATGCAGATATTTTAGTAATACAGAGAAGAAAAAAAACACCCAAAGATACTGCATTTTTAAAGACAGGACCTTCTTAGAGGAGGTGTGTAGATGGTACTGTTCTATTAATTTCTGCAGGATGACAAAATGTGATCTGTATTTTTTTTTCTTTTTTTGAGACAGTTTGACTTTGTCACCCTTGGTAGAGTACTATGGCATCATAGCATACAACACCCTGAAGCTCTGGGGCTCAAGTGATCCTCTTGCCTGCACAACACCTGGGTAGTTTTTCTATTTATTTACTTTTTTTTTAGAGACAGAGTCTCACTTTGTTGCCCTCGGTAGAGTGCCGTGGCATTATAGCTCACAGCAACTTCTAGCTCTTGGGCTTAGGCGATTCTCTTGCCTCAGCCTCCCAAGTAGCTGGGATGACAATCGCCCACCACAACACCCAGGGGTGTTTGGCTAGGACCAGGTTTGAACCTGCCACCCTTGGTATATGGGGCCCAATGCCCTACTCAGAGAGCCACAGGCACCACCAGTTTTTCTATTTTTAGTAGAGATGAGGTCATGCTCTTGCTCAGGCTGGTCTCAGCCTCAAACTCCTGAGCTCAGGCAATCCACTCTTGGTGGCCT